GAACTCTCAGATGGTGTAAGGGTTGAGTGAGAAAGAGTCAGAATTCTCAGATGGTGTGTTTGAGAAAGAGTCAGAATTCTCAGCGTTTGCGGTCTGCGTTTCCTTTTTTTTTTTTTGGAAATTTCTCCTCACTTTCTATTTGACCAATGTGACAAAACAGAAAGTAAGAAAAAAATTTTCTTGAAACATACTGTAAATGCCTTTTTTCTGATGCATATTCCCCATTGAGATCCCTCCTCTCTTCCTGCCTAGGTAACAGGTGTCAGTAGAAATAAGAAGTGAAGGGAAATTTCCTCAATTGTGGCACAGGCAGCAATCCCATTCAGAGGATCTAACCCTTCACCACTCACAAAAAAAGTTTTTGTTGAAGTTGGGCTTTAATTAGATTATGTAATTATGAATTGTATCCTAGCTGAACCTAAGAAGTGATGATTTGACATATACCATAAAAATAACAACCAATCACATCATCAGTTTAACAGAAAAAAGGATAAAGTACCCTCAGTAGCCATTTTATTAGGTACACCTTGCTAGTATCAGGTTGGACGCCCTTTTTCCTTTAGAACTGCCTTAATTCTTCGTGGCATAGACTCAACAAGGTATGTATAAATAAGCGCATGTGATTAAAAGTAAATATGAATTAAATAATATGAAAAAGCAAAAAAAAACTTTGTGAAATGGATAATAGAGTCCCAGTGCAAGAGGACACAGTGAAAAGTCCTTAAATGCAATTATGAAGCTTCAATCGCATAGGATAGGATAATCTTGTATATCCAAGTGCAGCATTTTTCATCCCACTCAATGTGAAATGTCCTTAGGTACAATAATAGATGGTCAATTGAAAAGGTAATCAAACACATTCAGGTGCAACACATGTCACCCCACTAAGGTGTTGGAAACATTTCTCAGATATTTTGGTCCATATTGGCATTATTACTGTATTACTGTTGCCTTTCTACCATCTCTAACCAGTCTGCCCATTTCTCCTGGAACCTCTGACATCAACAAGGCATTTTTGTCCACACAACTGCTGCTCACTGGATATCTTCTCTCTTTCCGACCATTCAATGTAAACCCTAGAGATAGTTGTGTGTGAAAATCTCAGTAGATCAGCAGTTTTTGAAATACTCAGACCAGCCCGTCTGGCACCAACAACCATGCAACATTCAAAGTCACTTAAATTCCCTTTCTTCTCCATTCTGATTCTCAGTTTGAACTTCAGCAAGTCATCTTCACCACATGTACATGCCTAAATGCATTGAGTTGCTGCCATGTGATTGGCTGATTAGCAATTTGAGTTACCAAACAATTGAACAGCTGTACCTAATAAAGTGGCCAGTGAGTGGATAGTATAAGCTGACTCCTACTAATTCACCACTCAATATCTTCCCCCCGTCACCTCGTTAGACAAAGGCCTCAGATACTGTATTTTCATCCTTGTAGGTATTCATGGTTTTATTTCCTGGAAACATTCATCACAACATGTCTGCATTTATATTGTCTCCCTATGGACCTTGAAGATGTTCAATAGAATGTCTCCTGGAGTTCATGACTTCTCTGCTTGAGAGATTGCCTACAGAGCTCAACATTTTATACAGATGACACAATACATGTAGAGAGCACTGCTATAGCTGTAGAAGAAGCAAAATAGCTTTAGAAATGAATGGATGTACTTGAAATGAAATGTGGACTGAAAGAAATATGTAGGCTGTATGTTGTCATATCCTTTTGAACATGCTTGTTGCCAAGCTGTCTCTTCTTTGAGTATTTTGGCCACATTGGCCCAGAACAAGCATGCAATGTGAGACCAGACCAGGGGCGGACTGACTATTTGGAAACTCGGGCACTGCCCGAGGGCCCGGGGTCAGTAGGGGGCCCCATAAGATGCCCCTGGTACCTTTTTCATAGGTTTTTTTGAGTTTGGGCAAGGACACAGGGGCCCATGATCCCCTATTGCCCGGGGGCCCCATGAGTTGTCAGTCCGCCCCTGGACCAGACTTTATTTGTTTGGGATGGTGAATCACAAAATCAAATGAAACAAGAAAATTAGCAGATATGCCAGACAATTTGCATTCTCACAAGGAAATCAGCTGAAACAGTTCAGATTATACACTCAGTTACCTTTATTGAACAATCATTAACCAGTTGTGAACATTGGGCGTGCAACTCACACACCCAAAAAACAATGATGTGCACAGGGGTATGTAGTGTTTCCATCATCCATTGTCCCCCTATCCTTGCATTTGCAGGCAATTCAGCTGCTGCCAAAAAAATGGACCTGGCACAGTGTTTATAAATGCTGTTGATACATTCATGCTCCTGTATTTATTCTGTTTAACTGCAAACAAAAAGGATGTGCTTTGATATTCTTGTGATGTCAGTTAAAGCAATCTGACATGTACAAAATAATTGTTTATATTTAATCTTATTAATCCTTAGTTTACCCTAAGTGGCCTTAACTCCTTCTTCTCATTTTCCCCTTAGCTAATTTTTTCTTGCTGTTTTCTTGTTATTTATTTCTGTTGTAGGAACCATTAATGCTTAAAGAGGTTCTAACGCTTTTTTTTTACCGTAATGTATTCTCTGCAGTAAGATTAAAAAAACTTCTATTTATTACCTTACTGCAGAAAATGCATTAAGGTAAAAAATGAATCCCCCACAGCCCCCTCCCCCCTATGCTTATCTAAGCTGATTTCAATACAGAGCTGTGCCCAAGAGCAATGGCTATTTCTGCTCTCTCCCTCCTCATAAGGGATGATTTATAGCAATGGGAGCCATTGACTCCTGATACTGTCAATCAAATTCTATGACGAGGATGTGGGGGGCAGGGCTGATCACAAGACACAGGCACAGGGGCTCAGGAGTGAGCTCTCACAAGTGCCCCCATGGAAAGTGGCTTCTTCTAGGGGCACTCACTGAAGAGTAGTGGGGAACCCCAGAAAAGGAAGATCGGGCTGCTCCCTGCAAAACCCTTGCACAGAGAAGTTATGACATGTTTATTATTATTATTATTATATTTTATAATTATTGTTTTTAATTTAAAGTAGTTGTAAAGGCTGTGCAGTATCCCCCCAGCCCCCCTCCAATACTCACCTAAGCCCCCTCTCGATCCAGCAATGTGCACTGGAATCTTGGTTATACCAAGAGTCCCTCTTCTCACATTGGCTGAGACAGCCATTGGCTCCCGCTGCTGTCAATCACAGCAAGTGAGCCAAAGAGAACAGAGAGAGAGAGGATGGGCCAAGCTGCTTGCTGTGGGGGTACCCAACAGGAGGGAGGAGCCAGGAGAAGCTGTGGGGGACCCATAAAGAAGAGGATCCAGGCTGCTCCCTGAAAAACCACTGCACACAGCAGGTAAGTATAGACATATTTGTTATTTAAAAAAAAAAAATAATAATAATAATAATAATATGCCTTCAAAATCACTTTAAGGTTTAGATTCAATGTAAACATTTTTATTGGTAATAATTTTTGCTCTTTAAACTTTCAGCATTGCATTAAAAAAGTACAAAATTCCTTTATTTTATTTATTTGTAATGTTCCAATGCTTGTGCCAGAACTATAATTAAAATGTCATTTAAAACAGGAATTATGGAATAAAATTTACAGTAACACAATATTTTTCTTTTTTTTATCTTTTTATTTGTTACATTTTGTCTATGGATTGCATAACAAATTAAAATGATTTTTCCATGATGATATTACCAAAAAAAAGCCTTGTTGCTGGTCCTAAAAATGGACACCTGGTGTTTAATTTGTCTTATATCTGATTATTATTATTATTATACAGTATTTATAAAGCGCCAATAGTTCGCTCAGCGCTGTACATTACAAAGGGGGATGTTGCTAGAAGGACAGTAGCAGGGTGATGACCTCATCGATGTGTTGATGGGCCTTGACTGTGTCTTTGGAATAGTTCCCCTAACTTACTGTTCTGGTGAAAACTCAATATTTTGGATTTTTGACAATGGTTGCCGGGGAGAAACAGAGAGAGTGAATTACCTCAGCAGGGATAACCTGACAGGGATCCTAAACTTTTCACTACTCTGTCTTCAACTAAAACAAAAATGTGGCTTTTAGATACACTTTAATGAATAGGCCAGTTTTAGTAGTTGTTGCTGGAACTAGCGGAAAGAAAAAAAAAGAACTATGAAAAGAAAACTTTCAACATTGTGAAAAAAATATATTATGTTCTTTCACCACCATTTTGCAAAGTATAAAATCGACTGAAAAATACACGGGGACACAAAGCCTGATTGTTTTATCGCATAGCACTTTATTCTGAGGGAGACCTCAAAAGAATATATTCCTATTGTTGCAGCCAATAGCTTAGCTGGTAGGAGATCCAATTCTGATTCATCCTTGTCCTGCAGTGGGAAGAATCCTGCAGAGGGTGTACAAAGGAAGACATACGCTGCAGAGAGCACAGGGCTTGAAGCTTAGAACATTCCTCGCAGGTTAACAAAAAGTAACCCGTTCTTTGACATGAAGGAGATTTTAATTGTGACAATTATTAATACCCAGCAAGCTCTGCTCCAATGTAGCCAAAAGAATTGCTTGTTTTAGAGAAATTATCTTGGAGCTAGAATCATGGAATGGCTCAAAGTCACCCACTATGACCTTAAAAATCAGTTTATGTTGTCACATAAATCCAAGCTCAGGATTTACAGTTCTACCTTAATTTTATGAGATTCAAACAGTCCTTGTGCACTGAAAAAAAAAAAAAGACATATGACAAGGACACTAGTTATATTTATTGCCCTGAAACATTCTCAGAGCTTTAAAGAAAATGTGTAGTCTTTTCTGTGATTTTAGTTCTACATGTAAATGTCATCAGCGTGATGTAAATAATGTAATCTGTATATCAGTGTTTCTCAGCCTTTTTGAGTCAAGGCACCCTTTTTAAAATTATGGACAGTCCCGAGGCAACCTTTAAAATTATGGACAGTCCTGAGGCACCCTTTAAAATTATGGACAGTGCTGAGGCACCCTTTAAAATTATGGACAATCCAGAGGCACCCTCTAAAATTATGGACAGTCCCGAGGCACCCTTTAAAATTATGGACAGTCCTGAGGCACCCTTTAAAATTATGGACAGTCTCGAGGCACCCTTTAAAATTATGGGCAATCCAGAGGCACCCTCTAAAATTATGGACAGTCCCGAGGCACCCTCTAAAAATTATGGACAGTCCCGAGGCACCCTTTAAAATTATGAACAGTCCCAAGGCACCCTTTAAAATTATGGACAGTCCTGAAGGCACCCTTTAAAATTATGGACAGTCCCGAGGCACCCTTTAAAATTATGGGCAGTCCAGAGGCACCCCTCTAAAATTATGGACAGTCCAGAGGCACCCTCTAAAATTATCGGCAGTCCTGAGGCACCCTTTAAAATTATGGGCAATCCAGAGGCACCCTCTAAAATTATGGACAGTCCAGAGGCACCCTCTAAAATTATGGACAGTCCCGAAGCACCCTCTAAAATTATGGACGGTCCCAAGGCACCCTCTAAAATTATGGACAGTCCCGAGGCACCCTTTAAAATTATGGACAGTCCCGAGTCACTCTTTAAAATCATGGACAGTCCAGAGGCACCCTCTAAAATTATGGACAGTCCAGAGGCACCCTCTAAAATTATGGACAGTCCCGGGGCACCCTCTAAAATTATGGACAGTCCCAAGGCACCCTCTAAATTTATGGACAGTCTCGAGGTACCCTTTAAAATTATGGACAGTCTTGAGGTACCCCATTCTAAAATGTGAAAAACTATTCTAATAGTTTTATAGAATTCAGCAACATCCACACATGTAGGACACCCAACATTAGAGGTGAATTATTCTTCCAAAGCAAATACACTTTTGCACACTGGTACTGACTAGTATTCCAGTGTTTCTCTTCTCCCTCAGTTTTTTTCTATTACTGAGCTAATGTGACCCCAGCACTAATGGAAAGGGGCAGGGGAGGGTCAAACTAGGATGCTGTGCAGGCAGCTGACATCCTCCTTATCAACTGATGATGTCATTGGTTGTCAGGACGCCAGCGGCTAGCAGTTCGTAATGGTGCACAATGGAAACTTGTATAACTAAAAGGCGGGCTTGTTCCACCCGCTGGCTTGTATACAAGTTTTGGGCAATTTTCAGAGATTTTGCCAAGGCACCCCTGAAGAAACCTCAAGGCACCCCAGGGTGCCTGGGCATCCTGGTTGAGAAAGGCTGATCTATATAGTTACATATTTAAAGGAGAAGTATAGCCAGAGCTATTTTGGCTATACTTCCCCTGGGGATTCATTCTACATTCCTTTTGACCCGTTTTTCAGTGGACAGCGGGCAGATCCTGCTGTCAACTGACATCACAGAGCTGATCCAGGCTCTAAAAAAGATCCACACAAATATGTGAACTGGCAGCTGGTTCATCTTCTCAGCTGCGCCGGGGGGAGCAGTTTGGGGTGGTAAAATCAGCTCAATTGCGCGGTTTTACCGCCCTCTCAACCTTACAGGTGAACAGACCCTTGGTTCACATCTATGTGGCTGTGTGTAGGGAATCCCATTCATTTTAGTGGGCTGCCTTACCCGCAGAAATGCAGGGAAAGTTGTCCCTGACCTTAGTTTTAAAATTGCACCACACCAAAAACACCCCATGCTTGCCAATGTATGGGGTACCCCTAAAGAGCAGAGCATTTGTCTGCATCTCAGGAATGAGAGCGATTTTGCGTGCGTTCCGTGACACACAGTACCGTGAACCAAGCCTTGGATAGGGGTGCCTTGTGACTGAAAATACTTTTCAAGGGAACCCCGACAGGAAAAAGGTTGAGAAACACTGTCCTAGATAATACAACAAAAGGAGGAAACATCCGAGTCAACACAGACTGCATCTATGATGTTCAATTTGAAGACAAGGGCAAGGGGTACACTCCAATGTGACCAGTGCTGGGAACCACCATAATCATTAAAGGTCTACATTTTCAAATCATTTCCGTCTGATGTATTTATTTTTAGGATTTTAGACTGTACACTTTTTTCTAAATAAAATTTAAAAATCTCAGACCAGTGCTGGGAACCATCTGATATCATTGACAAAGTCTAACTACATTTTCAATCATTTCCGTCTGTGTATTTATTTTTAGAATTTACAAATACAGGATATTTTAGACTGTATAAACACTTTTTTCTAAATAAAATTTAAAAATCTCAGTAATAAAAATCCAATCAATGATTGGGAGAAACAAACTTGACATAATTTATAAATATGTTGGATGGAAGGTAACTGTCTCTACTGAGATCTGAAATTTTAACCAAATCATTCACAAGATGACAAAGTGCTAACTGGAGGGTGCAGCTTTTGCCAATGCAAACTAATCTCCCTGGTCGTGGACAGATTTATGATCTATTATAGCTGCTGCATGTATTACACTGATAGAAAGAGAAAAGATGTCACTGAAACAGAGATACATTAATGAGAAAGCTTTTACAAATACAGTAAATAATATATATATATATATATAGATATATATATATATATATGCTCTGTTCATATATAAACACAAATTATTGAATTATTCATGTATAACTTAATGTATAACTTGACACAGATCTGTGAACAAAAGTATTTGAGGATGCAGCAGGCACCCACCAACCAATCACTCTCAAGGGAGGCCCGGAGTAAAGAAAAAGAAGAAGACATGAACGAAGGGCCGGCATGACAGGGATTGACAGGGAAAGGGGTTGGGAGAGGAGAGTCCTATTAGTTGTCAGTTTTCTCCCTTCTGATTTGGCTTCTGGGCCTCAGCATGGGGGATTTGGAGAGCCTTCTTGCTCAGCTTAGGGCGGCTGCTGCTGAGAGAGGTGGCTCGTACTTGGTGGAGATTGGCAAGGTCTGTTGTGGCCTTGAATAAGGCTTGTATAAAGATTAATAAGGAGGTCTCTAGATTTGTGAAGTGGAATGGTGGTTTGGTAGTGCGGCATTGAGAGTTGGAGGTGGACACCTGGCGTTATCTGCGGGGGGACGGTGTCCATTTAAATGCTGTTGGTGTTGATTTGTGGTGTTTGGGTCTGGAGGATGGCGTTCAGAGGGCCCTGCGGGGGTGTGGCGGTCCACACAAACATGAGATGTCAGTGGTGGTGGGGTGCAAGGTCCTCCTAAGTTACTCTGGGCAAAAAAAAGTACTTGGTAGGGATCTGCTCCCTGTTGTTCTGATGGGGGTATCTGCAGTGGTTGTCTCCGAGTTGGTGGTGTTGTGGTTGGAGGCCTATTTTAACCATTTCAATACCGGGAAATTTTACCCCTTCCTGCCCAGGCCATTTTTCAGGTTTCAGCGCTCTCACACTTTGAATGACAATTGCGCGGTCATACAACATTGCACCCAAACTAAAATTTTATCATTTTCTTCACACAACTAGAGCTTTCTTTTGGTGGTATTTAATCACCGCTGGGGTTTTTATTTTTTGCTAAATTAACAAAAAAAGACTGAAAATTTTGAAAAAAAAACACATTTTTCTTTGTTTCTGTTTACAAATAAATAATTGTTCTTCATAAATTTAGGACAAGATGTATTCTGCTACATGTCTTTGGTGAAAATAACCCAAATTAGGATGTATTATTTAGTTTGTAGGAAAGTTATAGAGTTCACAAACTATGGTATAGATCTGAAAATTGATCAATCCTGAAGTACTGACAGCCAATCTAATTTTTTGAGGTCCAAGAATGTCAGAATAGTACAGATACCCCCCAAATGACCCCTTTTTGCAGAGTAGACAGTCCGACGTACTTCATAAGAGGAATGTCGAGTTTTTTGAAGTTGTATTTTTTTTGTCATAATTTTTTCGGAAAATGAAAAAATATAAAAAATTATTTTCACTATTTTTTTTTTACATACTGTCACCAGTGCAGTACAGCGTCATCATATAACTGGCATGGCGGTGAACAGGGACACTGATTGGTGACAGTATGAAAAAAAATATATATTTTTTTTAATTTTTTTTAATTTTTTTATTATTTTTAATTTTTTATTACATTTTTTTTTTAAGATTTTGTTTTCATATTTTACTATGACTAAAGTAGTACAATGTTACCATAGTAACATTGTACTACTTTGGGGAAGTGATCAGTATTTTTTTTTTTTTTTTACACAATTTGCTTATAGCAAAGAATTACTTTGCTATAAGCAAGCATTTACCTGAATGGAATCAATTCATTCAGGTTTTTTTTTTTTTTTGTGCTTAGCTGTGATTTGGCCACAGCTAATCACATGACATGTGCATGTGACCTGCTGTGACCATTCACAGCTAGGCACTAGTATACAATGGATGGCATGAATGAAGCCATCCATTGTATACAACTGTCATGTGACCTGCTGTGATTGGTCACAGCAGGTCACATGGTACCGGCAAAGGGGGCCGGTACTCAGATCTGTCATCGGCCGTGTCCGAGGTACACGGCTGGGGACAGATCACGCCTCTGCACGGCTCTGCAACCACGCGAACTGCGCATGTGTGGGAGCATGCCAAATGGACACGCACAAACTGTAGTACTCACATGACTGATTATGTCAGCATTACTAGGTCCCTTATCCATAGTACAGCACTGCACATGCCCAATGCCCAGCCACCTCTGCTTTACATGAAGCTTTGCTGTCGTTAGTTGAAGTGTGCCCATGTTATGCTCTAATACCCACCCTATTTTCTAGCTCCGCAATATAAATGAGCATCTACGCAATGCCACAAAATTTACACTTTATTACTTTTAACCAATTTTATGCACTAACCATTATTATGGATTCCACAAAAAAGGCTATCAATAAACCAATGCCTAAGTAGAAAATGGGATCGAGAGAATTGTAATGCAGTGCCTCATCCGCAACAGCCCACGCAGTGTTTAGAAAATCTGCCATAAACTAAAATACAAGGTAGCATAAATCGGGGTGCAAAATGGAAGCTGCGTTGGCTCATGCTAATTGTTATTAGTGGTAGCCAACTCTGCTTGTGTTTTAGTTTTTGTAAATGATCTCTATAGTCCTAATAAAATTATTTATCAGTTAAAAAAAAAGCAGTGAAATTCCTAAATACCTAAGTGACAGGATTTAGGTATAAAATCTTTACATATCTAGAGGAACGTGAGAGAAGAAAGTGTCACTTAAAACAGATTGGCATAAAATTTTATGCTCAGATGGACAAATCCTGCAGACTGCATTAAACTAACTGGGCTAAAATAGAGCTGAATTATGCAGAGCGATTCTTAACAAGCAGAGTGCACTGCATGATATATGCAAATACTCAGCCCATTGTTTGTGAACTTCATTTCAGTCTTGGTCCAGTGACTGTGTGGGAGAAGAATTAACTCTGGTAAATTTCTTAGCGGATTCATTGTTCTCTACCTGAAACAAGAAAACCAGCTTTTAAGGGGAATTTCTCATCCTTTTGAAGACATCTTTTCAGATACTGTATATAAAGAATTTGTATGTGATCAGCCTAATATCAAAAATGTTATCAACAGGCTATAATGGCTGCCAACATTCTCATTTATGCAAATCATAGTATAGCTAATAGTAGGTAGATCTATCCAACTGGATATACACCTAATTTTGAGTAGGTCCCACTTTTGTTGCCAAAACATCCCTGACCCATCAAGATATGGACTCCAAAGTAACATCAATATGAATTTCAGAACCCAAGGTTTCTCAGCAGAACATTGCCTATGGCATCACATGCCTCCATCGCCTTGTCTTCTTCTCATAGTGCATCCTGGTGCCATCTGTTCCTCAGGCCATCCACATGATGTAAAAGAAAAAGTGATTGATCAGATCTGGCCACCTTCTTCCAT